TAATAAGTAAGATAGGGAAGGCTAAATTTAGCCCCTACTTACACCTACAGATTCTGTTTACATTGGTTACTTATATAATCCTCATGAACAGGAGCTGAGCTGTCTTTTTTGTAATTCTTTTATCCTCAAGATAACCAAGGGAATAGTTATTGCCCCCATTTTACAGACAGGGAGCCATGGTATAGGGATTAATACAAGGATTCACATATGCATTTATATTTCTTAATTGGCATTTGGTTTTTGACTTCCTTTGTAGATTGGGTGCTGATTCAGCCCATAGCCACACAGGACATCCATTGCTGAGTATGAAATTGAACCTGTATCTCCCAAGGTTCAAGGCATAACCCAAACTATCACCCCATCCTTCCACCTCATTTCCTGTAGAACATGCCCTTATTGATGTGCCTGTAGAAATACAGCAATGGTGTCAATTGGTTGATACTAACTGGAAGAAACTGATATGAATAGTTCTGTTGACACTGCACTAACTTAAATCAGCCTTGCTTGTTCTATCCTAGCCTTATGGACTTTAGATAGTCTTATACAAAAATGAAAAGAAAAGTCATTTTTGAACCTCAAAATAGATCTTGGATTACATTTCAGGAGGGGGTTTAGAATTAGGATTTTATGTAACCTGAGTCTTTTGATCCAACTAGTGGAGAATCACTTATTTCTGAGTCATGTGGCCATATAAACCAGGTTGGAGTGACAACCCAGGCATTTGCCTGGTGTTGTATTCAGTATAAAATAAAAACATCTAATAATTTTCCATATCACTGCAAAGGATATAAGACACTATCTATTGTAAAAAGGCAAATGAGAAGAAATCCAGTGATAGAAATTATCAAACCCTACCTTGCCACCCTGGTTTACAAACTGGTTTGACGTCCACTCGTACTAACACATCTTCTGTTGCATGTTTCTGCCCACAGTCAAAAGCAGTTACCATTATCTCATACAGGTGCTGTTTATCATAGCTCAGCTTCTCAGTGTTTCGGATATTACCTGGAAGAAAGAAAGAATCCAGAAATTACTTATTGGTGAAGTTTATATACTTGACCACTACAATTGCAACTATGCACTATCTCCCAAAAATTAAAGCCTAGTAAAGTGGGCCTTTGGTGAGAATGTCATTGGAATCAACAAGAGTTCTATACACAAGAAAATTGTAAGAAATGGCTCTGAATATTCTTCTAAGATATACTCAAAATAAAAGGAAATATATTAGAGTTATGTATAATTGTTATTTGTGTTGGGTATTTATACATTTCTGTAAAAACAAAAAAACCCCCAAAACAACAACAACAAAAACATACATGCAAAGGCACTTGTTAAAAGTAAGATTCAAGATATAAACAGAGCTAACAACTTTATATGTGGTTTTATATTAGTAGGTGAAACTTCAGTCCTCTCATGAGCACTGATTAGCATCTATTTCACACCACATATTTCAGATTCTATGCATGGATGCTCATGGGTGTACATGTGAGAAGGGAGCTGAAATTGGGTAGTCAGGGCTGGGAGACAATTCATGCTATTTGTCTACTACTGTGCAGAGATCACAGGGAAAAGACATTACAGCCTATCTTAAAAAATTCTTTCTGCTCAGCTGCTTTTACATATAGGAACCTCTTTAAATATAGGACTTCTATTTCTACAGGGATTAGGAGGTCTAGAATTATCATCATCATGTATATAACAAAGCTCATCTGCTACTTAAATAACAGTGCTTTGCTACTAGAAAGAAAATAAGTCAACAAAAAAAACCATCTGCCAAATCTGACTGACACAGAAAGGTGAAAAATTTCCAGTTAACAAGAAATGATATACTGTACATGAAAATGGCAACATCTTTCTTAGTCACTACTAGAGCACTGCCATTCTGAAGATGAAGCTAATTAAATGAGGTCAACATTTCACTTCAGTTCATTTATGCTAAAAAGCAGTCTTCATTCAAATTGCAACTTGGAAATGTTTAATATATATTGCATATGTTTTGTCTAACATGTTCCTTAACCAAGAATATGATAATTAAAAAAAAAAAAAATCACACTCATATCCTAAATTTAAACTTATTGTAAATGGAAATAGATATACACATAATACCATCACATCATAAATGCTTGTAACCATTGATATGAAATAATATACTGCAGAATCAAGTAGTCTGATCAAAATTTTAAAACCTGGACACCAGAATTCATGCAACTTTTAAGACATAAACAAACAGTATGATTGTCAAATAAACTGACCAGGAGTCATATATTTGAACATGCTGGCCTTTGCTGGCTTTTCAGTAAGTTTAAAATTGGCGGGGGGGGCAAACCTTAAAAATTAACCATAGGTAAAAAGCTCAGTTTTAAAATCTGGCCCCTCTATTTTTCATTGCACCAGTATGAATTTTGCAAGTAACTGCCATTTTGGTATGAAGATTTAGTCATTTTTGAGCACAAATGACACCAATAGTGTGTGTGTGGGGGGCGGGACTATGTATGCAGAATTAGAGATCTAGCATGCAAGAGGAAGTATTCTGTTGCAGGCATAGGATTGGTGAAGGGTGCTTCTCTTGCGTTATCCCCTAAAATACAAGGAAACCTCTAAACTGTAATCTGGATCTTGAGCCAGACCACACTGCCCCTTTGGTTTTTAGCTATCACTTCATATTTCCTTAGTGATGTATATTAATAAAACTCTCACAAAAGCCATAAGACAGGGAAGCACAATGTGGTCTTCCATTCATTCATTTTTATTCCATGAACATCAACAATGTAAAAAGATTTGAAAAGAAAAACTGAGAATCAAATTATTCTTCATCACAAATTGCGTCCTCAGTGAGCAGCAATTCATTGATCTCTGCACACACTGTCCATTTCCCAGCTGGCAGATGTGCTTCAAGATCAATTCCCACTAGTGATACCCTCCACTGGAATGTGGCTCAATATAGCTTGAGTTGTACACTCCTGGTCTAGAGGGTCTGTAGGAAAAGGCTGTCATCCTGGTCAGGGAGCAAAACGGACTCTTCCTGGTCACTTTGAACCAAATCTCTCTACGTTAATTTCCCCCTGCCTCAGGTTGTAACCCAAATATTTTATAGATACTAGGCAGAGGTGACCCCAGCAGGGTGCAGGGCCCGGGGCAAAGCAGCCTGTGCGGGGCCCCCATCCCCATGCCGTGGCACACTTATGCAGGGGAGTGAAAGCCCTGGCACACCAGGCACAGTGGGACGGGTGGCAGCCAGAACAAGCAAAGACTGCCCAACCCGCCAGGCGGGCAGGAGGGCTCTATTTCAAAAGTGGCAGCTGTAGCCTTTCCACCCAGCTCTGCAGGGCCTCCAAAGCGTGGGCCCCAGGGCGGTTGCCCCAATTCACACCCCCCAGGGATGGCTCTGATACTAAGGGTGGTATTCAACATTACCTTTCTCATGTGTTAAATACTCTTAAGATAGGAGGGTTTACAGGTTAAGGCCAGGAAAAAAGGAACTAAGTACCTTCTGAGCATTTCAAAGTTATGCCTCTTTGGGAAAGGACTATCTCCACCTGGTATAAGGCAGCTCATGTTGCAATAACATCAGTCTGCTCCATAGGGCCAATGTCTGCTCTGGAGCCAATATCCACACCTTGTAGTCTTCCAGTATCCCAGGATGCACTTCTCTCAGCCCTCCCTCACATGTGGATGAACTATCATTCATAACTGTACTGCCCTGGGCTGACAGACTCAGAGAACGCCAGACAGTTGTGGGTGAGAAGAGAGCTGAGGAAAGGGGGAGGCAGGTAAGAAGGGAGTCGCTGGAGAGCCAGATAGCCATGGGGAAGACTTGGCAGCTCTTAACTATGTCCCTGCTTGCCAGCCATGTAACAGCAAATCAAAGCTGTGCATGTTAAAGAGGGTATTAACCCTCAATGTGCAACTGCTCAGTCACAGTATATGGTAACTTTACTACCTAATATTCTTTAGCATATGCAAACTGTAAAGTGTAACAACACCTTAATCCACTTTCTTTAGAATTCTTCCAAATGTTAACTACCTGACTTTTTCCAGCTCAGCCAATCAATGAGCCTCAGGAAGGGGTTACCTCAGGCCATCCTTTTCTATATCCAGAGTTTGATCTTTGGAAAGTTTACCAGAAGTCCATTGAAGCCGGTGGACAACTTTCACATTAGGTCTTAAGAGGGCTTCTGCCCTCCGATCAAGCTATTGCCATCTTTTGGTACAAATCTTTAATAGGTTCCTTATAGTTGTACTAGATAGTTTCTTGGGCTGTCAGTGAGAACTGCCCTCTACCCATACATTGATATTTTCAGTTTTATGTGATAAAAGTAAACGAAAAGGAACTTTGTCTGGTATCTGTAGCAATAAGCTGGAGAACAAGGGTGTGTCTCCTGTTCTCCTCCTTCCTTAACCTCTTCCCTGTCAAACTATGAAGATATACACACTCCATTGCAATCCCTATGTTACAAAGAGGGAAATAAAATGTTTCAGTGATTGGCTAAAGACCACATAGGTTTCAGATATTTCTGCTCTGAGTCCACTTTACTAAAATTGCCACGGATAGGAATGTATTCAACTTAGTAGGTTCTTCTTTCCACCATGAATGAGACAACATACACTTCTCAGTTATGTTCTAATGTTAATGTCAAATATGGCATTAACCATGCATATAAGGCACAAGCAATATATTTCTTAAGTTGCATGATTAGTTTTTGGTGAGGGGGATTTTGGTGGAATGTTGTCATTTTATTCATGCATTTAGTATCTGTTCATTTTTACCCCTTTCTGGCTACATTTTATTAACATTTCTTCTATGCATATTATTTTGCCCCTGCTCCTTTTGTTCTCTTTACTATTGTTTTACTCTGCAACCTGTGGTGCTAATCCTCAAGATGCCAAAGTTCAGTAAATTAACATTAGCAGCCAGCTGGAATTTGCTTGGCACATTAACTGTCTTCTAAGATTTATAAATCATTAAAATGTATTTGTATTTCATTAAAGCTATCTTCCAAGATTTGTATTTCATTACAGTCTTTTAAGATTTGCATTTCAAGGATCCTGAATATTTAGTTTTTATTCTTAGAAGGTCATTTGAATGTCTTCTAAATGATTCTAGGTAGTTTATTGATTTTCTAATTATTCTTTGTTTCTGGTACCTCTGATGGCTATAGCTTTATGTTACTTTGTTATTTGACAATTCAATCAATAAGATTTTTTAACATAAACAAAGGAGGGAAGATTATAAAAACAGATTGATGAGTGCTCTAGAAAAGGTATGTTGGGAATTTCTGTTTATTACACTTCATATAAGAGCACAGGAAATGCAATTGAAAGGTCAAAGGCCAACCTAAGCCAAGCAACTCATACACAGGTTGATTGTGGTATGTCAGGTTTTGTAGCCAATGGCACAAGGAGTGATGTGGGTCACAATACACCAGTTGCCTTTGATACCTAGTTGATTTGAGCTGGGGAAATCAACTAACAAGTAGGTTAACTGGGACCAGAGGGAACAAACTTTGGTAAGAATCCAAAGCAAGGCTTGAATTTGCATCTGTGGAGAAGTAGCAAAGACACCTTAATGTTTCTGCCCCCACACTTCACTGATGAAAGAAGGGATATTTACTTCTGGTAGAAGCAAGCAATTAATCATATGATTCACATATAGCTCACAGAACTGGGGGCTGTCCAATGATATGACCAAGTCTGAAAATTCACAATACTCAAACTCCCCCCACCCCCGCCAGAAAGAACAGCTATCTATTTATATGGATAACAGCGTGTTCAGAATTATAACAGTAAACATTTTAAAAAGACACAGAACTACCAAACAAGGGACAAGAAGTTCATAAATCTGTCGTTTCCCAGGACAAAACGTATTCTAACTGTCAGGAGTCAACTACTAGGGACAAACCCCACACAGCCCATAAATTCCAATAACAGGGTTCCACATAACTTTTTGTGAAGCAGTCTGTACAAATCTCACTTGATGACAGCACAGCAAACAAACTGGCCACCTG